ACATATGCACCTTTCTACCTCCCACCACCAATCCTCCCATCTGCCCCTTCCCCAATCTTTCCTCCAGGTCCGCCGTATACAGTGCAAACAGACTTGGGCTCAGCGGACATCCCTGCCTCAGTCCCTTCGTCGTCCAGAACACGTCGCTCAGCTTATCTCCCACTTTTATCCTAGCCATCGTCTCCATGTATATTTCCTTCACTCTCGCAATTAGGTGTTCCGTTATCCCCCTCCTCCCCATCTCCTCCCACAACTTCCCCCTATCCACCTTATCAAAAGCCGCCTTCAAATCTATAAACAGGGCGTACAATTTCCCTCCCTTCTTATCCAGCTCTCTATCTGCCAAATGCTTCAACACATACACGTTGTCGATTGCTCCCCTTCCCTTCCGAAAGCCTGCCTGCCCATCCGGCAAAATTCCCCCCAACTCCATCTCCTCCTCCAGTCTTCCCGGCAGTATCTTCGTGTATACCTTGTATGCCGAGTCTAGTAGGTTAATTCCTCTGTAGCTCTCTACCCTTTCCTTATTACCCTTTTTATATACTGGGCAAATTACCCCCACTTTCCATCCCTCCGCAATCCCACCCCCTCTCCATACGCTATTCATTCCCTCCAACTTCATCTCCTCTCCCCCATCTCCCTCATAGCCTCCCAAACCCGTTAGCCTCGTTTCAACCCCTCCCAATAATCCCATAAAGTAACTCTTCCACCACTTAAACTATATATCCCTTATTAATTTTGTAATTTGTAAAATATCCCTATTGTGACATATTATTATTATTCTTTTTTTCTCTTGTTTTTGTTCTGAATTTATCTGAATTGTTATTAATTTTTGTTTTGTGCGCTTCACATCTCACTTTACCTTTTCTTCTCTTTGTTGTACATTATCCTGTAATTGGGTCTTCCTGTTGGATAATAAAGAGATATATTATTATTATTATTATTATAAGACCCGACTGCATCGAAGCCACGTCTTCATCCGAGATCATAGAACGAAATATCTTAAGATCGTCAGCATAGGCCAATACACCAGACTTAAAACTGTTTAATACGTTGTTAATAAATATTACAAACAGTAGTGGACCTAAGTTAGAGCCCTGTGGGACACCAGATCGTGCAATAAAGTCCACCGAAGAAAAGCCATTATAAAATACATAATTGGTCCTATTTGACAAATACGATAAAACAAGACACATGAGCCCGGGGGAAAATCCAAACATACTGAGCTTCTGGAGGAGAAGATCGTGATGGATCGCATCAAACGCCTTGGAAAAGTCAGTGTACACTACATCCATTTGATCACCCCTATCCAGGGATTCACATATTACTTCTGTAATCACTGCAAGATCAGTAACGGCTGAACGGCGCTTAATAAACCCATGCTGGTGCGGCGATACAAACGATTGAACTTGCAGATAAATAGCTCTAGATGATTTGCTCAAATACTTTAGCAAAGTTAGATATTATGGAGATGGGACGATAATCAGCAATTATCCGCGATCGCTTCCAGATGTTAGGAAACTCACCTGTCTTTAGATACAAGTTTATCATCACGCAAAATGGGGCAGCAAAATTTGCGCTACAATCACGAATAAAAAACGCTGGAAGGTTATCGTCACCAGCCGTAAATTTATTCGGCAACTTCTTAAGAAGATCAAGAACCTGTTCCACAGTGGTACTCTTTAAAATGGTAGATGGATACATAGAGTGCGAATCAATCAATTCGTAGGTTGAGTCACCACCAAAAACTGCCGAAAAATAAGTAAATGATATACCAACTGCTAGTTCTGGCCTCACAAACGCTTTAGCGCTGCCTTCTCGTGTCTGCGCCAGACCCATATCAGAGAAACTCTATTATCACAACTCAGTGTGTTTAATGTTCTTCTACAGTTATTAACCAGAGCCGAGACCGTTTTCACGGCTTGCAGCGCCTGGAGAGCGGTTAGAGTTTCTGAGAAAAATCGTACTATCATGTTCTTCACCTCTCTCTCAAGAAGGATTTTAGCACCCACGTCAATAGCAAATACTTCCGCCTGGAATACAGTACAGTACGTACCCAGGCTGTAAGCTTGCTTAACCGTTTGACTGCGGAACAAATTTTGTGAGCATATGCGGAGCAGCGCAGTCACTCTCCCCGCTCTTACCATAAAACTATAGGAGCGCTATCGTGCTCCCCGCAATTTTGGTATAGAACCAGAGGAGCGCGATAGCGCTCCTCCGCACTCAATCGATTAATTCGAGCTGTCTGGCAGTATACTCCGCAGCCCATTGGCAGGACATGTCGGAACAGTTTTGAGCATATAGCTTAAATCTGTAAATGGTTTCTAGCCACTTTCTCTATATGCAAATGCAAATAGGCCACGCAGATAATCCATTGCTACAGTTGGCGTTGTGCTTATCGCACCAGAGATTGCCAATCCTGCTACTCGTTGAATGTATAAAAGTGTACTAATAACTGAAGTCTGTCAGAGTTTCCTATACCATGCTGCTGCTACGTATGTAATCATAGCTCTAATCATAGTTACATAGAGCCAGTACAGTCTATCAGGGGTAAGACCCTAATTTTTCTCACAAAGACTACGACAAATCCACAAGGATAGTCTAGCTTTGCGTAAAAGTCTCTGCAAATGTCCAATTCATGAGAGGGTTTTATCTAGGGTTACTCCTAGATATTTGACTTCCTTTGAGAAAGGNTCGTTTTCGCAAAATTTTCAGTTTTTGCCGATAGGGCGAAAACAAAAGACGATAGCTGTTCGGAGTTTTCGGCATTAGCATTTTCTCGAAAAACGAGATCATGACATGTAAGCTACTTTTTTTCTATCTCTTTTAGTTTCGGAGATAGCCTATGCGGACATCGAAATTGGGACACCCTGTACACTACATACACTTGACCACCCCCATCTAGGGATTCACATATTACTTCTGTAATCACTGCAAGATCAGTAACGGCGCTTAATAAACCCATGCTGGTGCGGCGATACACACGATTGAATTTGCGGATAAATAGCTCTATAGATGATTTGCTCAAATACTTTTGCAAAGTTAGATATTATGGAGATGGGACGATAATCAGTAATTATCCGCGATCGCTTCCAGATGTTAGGAAACTCACCTGTCTTTAGACACAAGTTTATGATCACGCAAAATGGAGCAGCAAACAAAAATCACGAATAAAAAACGCTGGAAGGTTATCATCACCATTCGTAAATTTATTCGGCAACTTCTTAAGAAGATCAAGAACCTGTTCCACACTGGTACTCTTTAAAATGATAGATGGATACATAGAGTGCGAATCAATCAATTCGTAGGTAGAGTCACCACCAAAAACTGCCGAAAAATAAGTAAATAATACACCAACTGCTAGTTCTGGCCCCACAAACGCTTTAGCGCTGCCTTCTCGTGTGTGCGCCAGAGTGACCTGGGACCCATATCAGAGAAACTCTATTATCACAACTCAGTGTGTTTAATGTTCTTTTACAGTCATTAACCAGAGCCGAGACCGTTTTCACGGCTTGCAGCGCCTGGAGAGCAGTTTGAGTATCTGAGAAAAATCGTACTATCATGTTCTTCACCTCTCTCTCAAGAAGGATTTTAGCACCCATGTCAATAGCAAATACTTCCGCCTGGAATACAGTACAGTACGTACCCAGGCTGTAAGGTTGCTTAACCGTTTGAGTGCGGAACAAATTTTGTGCATATGTAGCATATGCCAAAAATGTGCGCAGTCACTCTCCCGCTCTTACCATAAAACTATAGGAGCGCTATCGCGCTTCCCGCACTCAATCGATTAATTCGAGCTGTCTGGCAGTATACTCCGCAGCCCATTGGCAGGACATGTCGGAACAGTTTAGAGCATATAGCTTAAATCTGTAAATGGTAGCTCTAGCCACTTTCTCTATATGCAATTGCAAAGAAGATAGGCCACGCAGATAATCCATTGCTACAGTTGGCGTTGTGCTCATCGCAACAGAGGTTGCCTGCTACTCGTTGAATTCGTAAAAGTTTACTGATAACTAAAGTCTGTCAGAGTTTCCTATACCATGCTGCTGCTACGTATGTAATCATAGCTCTAATCATAGTTACATAGAGCCAGTACAGTCTATCAGGGGTAAGACACTAATTTTTCTCACAAAAACTACGACAAATAAACAAGGATAGTCTAGCTTTGCGTAAAAGTCTCTGCAAATGTCCAATTCATGAGAGGGTTTTATCTAGGATTGCTCCTAGATATTTGACTTCCTTTGAGAAATGAATTTCTTCAACAGTCCATCCAACTTTCGTCTCCTGGCGAAGGGCACAACGATTGTCTTTTGCGGGTTTATTGAGAAATTCTGTCCCTTACACCAAGCGCGAATATTATCAAGGGTCACCTGGAGGACTTTGCATATCCACGACAAACAGGTTCCTTTGACCATAATGACAATATCATCAGCATAAGCTTAAATTGCGTCAAGCTGATGGGTCGAAAGGCAATTTTAATATAGCAACTGATAAACAAGGATTGAACCTATTTAAAAAAATATAGCAAATGAACTTACAACAACACCAAGCCAAATAATTATAAAAATATTAAGAATCACTCATCATTTTTTCTTATGTATTTTTATCTTTACCTTCCAAGCGTTACGCATCCTGTATTTATATGTTTGTTTTTCAGTTTATTATGTAAATTGATAAACTTAATTATATTTATTTATTTATCTTTTGTTATTGGCTTATTGAACGATTTTTGAAAACAATCTAACCATTCAAGTTCATTCTGAAAACTCTAACCTTCTTCCTTATACTTCCTGCACCGTTACCCAGCGATTTAAGCAAATTTAAAACCGTATCAAATCCGGCAAAAAATAACCGCAGCGCTGCCGAAAAATTGTATCAATTTGAATCGACACTTTTTTTACAAGTTTAATAGTTTCAAAGCGATTCCCGCCTCGAGGTCGACATTTTAAACCGAACCACGCATATAAAAGGCTCTCCGTTTCCTTCGGACTCTCCACGTGACGACTCCTCGTCGAACTCCAACGACTCTTCCACAAAGTAGTATATCAATAGTGAAAGTCGCCCCCCTCACGGATTCGTATATACATATATAAATAATCGGCTTATAAATCATCCGAGTCGTTCAGGTCGGTTTTCAGTACATTCGCGAGTTTTGTTTTAAGTAGATTATTTAAATTAACTCTTATGTAGTAAGATATAAAGGTTTATTTTAGTATATAAAGTGAGGTTTTTAAGTTATCGCGATTTTTTTTTGTATTTACCATGGATGCCAATCAATTTCGAGAATTTGGTAAAGCTGTTATTGATTATGTTGCTGATTACACTGAAAATATAAGGGATAGGTAAGATTATAAAACAATTTTTTTATTTTAAGAGTTTTTATTAATAATTGATTTCTCACTATTTCTATTCAAGTAATTTTTAATATACGATTTGAATTATCATGTAATTAGCATATAACATTTTTAATAAATGAAAAAATCTACTTGAGCAGGAATAAATTGTTTCTCTCACCTTGACAATGTACCTTCAAAGAGTTAGAGTTGATCTTGATGCAGGGATACGGAGAGAGTGTTCAATAATTACGATCTCTCGGAACGGATCTTAAAGGGGGTTATTTATTATGCACAATAATTGCGGTTTGTTTTAATATATGCGGTCACCTTGGCCATAAACTACAACCGCAGTTACTATTAATTAAAAAGAGAATTACGCAATGTTAAGTAGTTATACAAGGTCTTAATCAATTTTCTTTTTTTTTGTTCTTTGTGTTTTTAAATAATATAAGTTAAGAAAATTGCGACTCATTAACGTAACTATTTTACATACAACGCTTATTTTTTTAGTTCAATCCGGATCGAAATAACTCACATAATAACGATATGTAACTTTTATTTACAGATCTGTTCTACCATCCATTGAACCTGGATATTTACGTCCTTTATTACCATCGGAAGCTCCACTTAAACCAGAATCATGGCAAGAAATTTTAATGGATGTCGAACGCGTTATAATGCCCGGAGTTACTCATTGGCAATCTCCAAATTTTCACGCTTATTATCCCACCGCTAGCTCTTATCCTTCGATTGTTGGTGATATTTTAAGCGGAGCTATAGGATGTGTTGGATTTAGTTGGGTAAACTTTCACTTTTTTAAAAAAACATCTCTTAAAAGTTGGTTTTAAATTCGGGATGTTTGCAGATGGCGGGGCCAGCTTGTACCGAATTGGAGGTTGTAATGATGGATTGGCTTGGAAAGCTATTGCACCTGCCAGAGGAATTTTTGAATTGCTCGGAGGGCCCCGGCGGTGGGGTCATTCAGGTAACGCACACGATACCGTTATAAAAACACTTTCGCTTCCACTTTCTCGCTTGACTCAACATCAATAAAAAAGAAAAACTATTTTTTTAAATTTATTTTCAATGACAAATCTATTACATCTACGTTTTATTTATGAATAAATATAAATTGAATTGTAATTAAACAACATCATCATTTAAAACGGAAGGTTTTGTAAATAATCAATGTCATCTTGTTTTATATTTAAACTTAATTACAGCAAATAAAACTTTTTATAAAACATTTTTTATCACAATTAGGGTTCTGCAAGCGAAGCAACATTCATTGCATTATTAGCCGTTAAACAACGAATGGTAAACGAAATACAGGATGCAAACCCGGAGATATCAGAGGATGAAATTAAATCTAAATTGGTCGCTTATTCATCTGATCAATCAAATTCTTCTGTTGAAAAAGCCGGTATAATCGGCTCGGTACGAATGCGTCTTTTAGAAAGCAACCAAGATGGTCAATTAGAAGCAAAAACGCTTCGTGAAGCAGTCAAAAAAGACCGCGAAGCCGGTTTGATTCCTTGTTTCGTTCTTGCAACATTAGGAACGACCGGAACTTGCGCCTTTGATGATATGCAAGAACTTGGTCCGGTTTGCGTCGAAGAAAATCTTTGGTTACATATCGACGCTGCGTACGCTGGAAGTGCTTTTATATGTCCGGAGTATCGTTACTTGATGAAAGGGGTTGAATATGCGGATTCTTTTAACTTTAACCCACACAAATGGATGTTGGTTAATTTTGATTGTTCGGCAATGTGGGTGAAAGATTCTCGTCATCTCCACAACGCTTTCAGCGTCGATCGTATTTACTTAAAACACAACAAAGTGAGTTCTTTGCCGGATTATAGACACTGGCAGGTGCCGTTAGGAAGAAGATTTCGAGCGTTAAAGCTTTGGTTTGTTTTGAGATCTTATGGAGTTGAAGGTATTCAAAAACATATTCGTCATCAAATCGCATTGGCTGAACATTTTAAGAATTTGGTAGAGTTGGATTCAAGATTTGAAGCGTGCACTTGTAGTTTAGGGTTGGTTACGTTTAGATTAAAAGGAGATGACAGTTTAACGCAGAAATTGTTGGATATATTGACCGCTAAACGGGAATTGTACGCAGTTCCGTGCCGATACAGAGGAAAATATGTAATCCGATTTGCAATTTGTGCCAAGTCCACTCAAGTTGAAGATATTAATTGGGCCTGGAATATGATTTGTAAGGAAGCGGATGCGTTGGTTGGACCTAAAGTAAGGAAAGTTGAGATTATCGATGAGATTATAAACGAAAAAGCGAAATTCGATGCTATTAATATCACGTCGAATGCTGAATCTGTTGAGAAATCTAAATAACAGTTAACAAAATAAGAGATACTTTTTTTGTTAAATAGATTAATATATTTGTTTTGCACTATTTTGTTAGATTAGTTTTTACAATTGCAGTGATAGGTTGTGTATAAAATGTATTATTTATGTAAATAAAAATGTCAATAAAATAAAAGTTTGTGTACATCTAAAATTAGAATTTTCTTAATATGAACTTTAAAAAAAATCTCATTATCTAATAGAAGTATTAATGAAAGGTTTATACTATAAAATGTGTTAATGAATTCTATGCAAACTAAGTTTGGTTTTTGCACCATTATATATAACCTCGGAGAAAAATGTAAATTATTAAAAAGTATCCCAAAAGAGAAATTTCTTAAGATGATTTTTAAAAAATTATATCTCTTGAACTGATCGAAGATATGATAAATTGCTGGAACTTTTAAATTTGTTAATTTGTTCTAGATAAACAAAAATTGGTTTCTTACTTCTTGTGAATGAACTAAGAAAAATGTTTGAGCTTTAACGTGCAAAAAGTTTACATTCAAAACGAGAATTTTATTAATATAAACTAAAACAAATGTATCTCATAAACTAATAGGAGTATCAAAAAAAGGTTTAAACCATAAAATTTGTTATTTAATTCTGTGCAAACTATCCAAGTTTGGTATCTCTGTCATTATACATTTAACCTAGGGGAAAAATTAAACCTGACCTTGCAAAAACTTACTGAAACATATCTCGTTTCTTAAGATGATGTTTATATTCAAAATGAGAATTTTCTTAATATGAACTTTAAAAAATATATCTTATAAACTAATAATAGTAGTATAAAAAAATAACTTTTACCATAAAAGTTGTTATCAATTCTGCCATTCAAGTGTAAACTGTCCAAGTTTGGTTTTTCTAACATTATACATAACCTAAGGGAATCATATCTTTTGCTAATAAATGGTTTATACTTTCAATCATAAGTAAATAAGGTAATAATTAAAAAAAACTGTTTACTTCCAGTATGTTAATATTTAATAGCCAGTACTAGTTTCGGATTATTTATCCATCATCAGCTGTCGTCTTCAAACAATATAATATAAATTAAGATATATGATTAATAGTGTAAAATCTAATTAAATCGTTTATTTCAGAAAGGGACTAAGTAACATTTTTATCTTTCTGATAAAAACAATAAAAAAGATATATGTTCCAATTTAAAGAGCGTTTACGACATTTTTTTTATTACAAATTGTATATATAACTACCAATACATGTTATCATAACAGAATTTAATTTTTGTTTGCAATTCCATAAAGAAAACAACAAAATGAAAAAACTGCACTTAGTACGTTTCTGCAATTAACTGTATGTTGTTTACTGATTTCGTTTTTTCTTGTATTCTCACATGGGCATGGAAAACGATATTCAAGAAGAATATTATTTTTAACGCAATAGGGTTATTTACGAGAATATATTTAAAAATTTGTTATTAGAAAATGAAAATATTGACAAAAACAAACTTATTTTTAGTCTGTAGCATTTTTTCCTGGTCTCGCTTTAGATGGCCATTTTAATATATCTTGATAAAAATTGAAGTATGGTTCTTCAATATAAGGAAGCATTTTCCGAAAATGTTCCAATTTGGAAATAAAAATTGGAACTTTATCAGCATAAGCATTAGTTGTGGGCATTTTGATCAATGTTCTAGATCTTGTTGGCATGTGTGGCATGTTAACCCATTTATACAACCTGAAGCAACAACATATCTCGGAGTTTTATGTTCATGAAAAAAATAATGAAAGTGGGATATTGTAAATGATTTTTTGTTATCTCGAACTACTCCGGGTTTCATGCTTTCAAAAGAATTTGGAGTTTTTTGTAATACTTAGGCCACCAGTTTTTGAAATCGAGAATGTCTTTGGAAGAAATTTCGTTTATCACAAATTTCTGGTTAGCACTTGAAGCAATAATTTCTGTGTAAGTATGGAGAGAATATATTCTATCGTGCTGCTTAAGACATCTTTTGATCTGTTGATTTCTGTTGATCTCAACCAAAGCCATAGACATACGTAGCAGTGTATGGTTCTTGTTTTGCCCCGGGCAGTTGTCACTGTACAGGCGTAATTCTTTGACGCTGTTAGGTATTTCTTTTTGAATATAGTTCCATAAAAATGAAGCAACTTTATCAGGGCCTTTGTTAGCGATACCTTCATTATATTATATATAAAAATACCCTTGTCCGTTCTTACAGTTATGAATACTGAATACATTAACTGATAACTGAGTCAAATAGAACATTTTTTAATAGGTATTTCTGGCAAGTGGACGTTTTGCATGAAATCAAAAGTTAACGCCGCCAAATCGTCACGAGTTTTGCACTCAGCAGTAGAGTTCTTGAAGACGACCAAAATGTATCTTTATGGAGTATTTTTATGGAAAAATGAACATCTTTTTTATCTCTGCATTATTGCGTTTTTGGGTTTAGATCTCCTTTGAACTTCGTGCATTTCTAAAAGGCCTTGTAAGTAAATATCTTGTTCATCTTTAGTATTAAATTTTCAGTTTTTGTTCATCGTTCAACTTTTGAAAACACTTCATTGGACATCTTAAAGTATTAATTTAGTTAAAAAAATACAACTCGTCAGTTCGTGTAACACTTACCGACAAGCTTCTCCACACTTTTTTTCTTGTACTTCATTTCTCTTGTAATTGCATGTTTTGTAATATTTCGAGTATAACAGTCGGAATTGTTAATTCCTTTTTTCCTTTTTTTAGAAACTCTGATTTCTGTATCACTTAGTGAACATTCACTTTCTATTTCTTCCATTATTACCACTTAAAGCAGGTATTGTTACTTAATATAGCTAATAACGTTTTGACTGTAGGTTAAGTCGATAAGTGTTTGAACACATATAAGCAATTGCGATATGAGCTATCGTATCAACGAAATATGATTCAGGCAATATGATTGGCTAATAATAATATCACTAGGCAGATGCAATCGCAATCATTGTTAGCCGTCAAACTGACAGTTTGTTGCAGAAAGGGACTATCTAACGATACTTAGTTCCTTTCTGCAGCAAACGAAATATTTTCTCCCCACAATAAATGTTAGAGTCTTATGAATCATACTTTCTTTCTACACCCAACAATAGGTCTACAAAAAGAAAATACGAAAATACACTTATCTCAAAATTATCAAAAATTTTACTTAGCCCCTTTCTGAAATAAACGATTCAATTATTAAAAACATACATCGTAAATACACATAAATAAACGTACGAACAAGGAAACACGTTAAAATGTACAAGGTAAGTGTGAAAAATAAATAATGATACAATGTAAAGAAACATAAACTGGTTCTAAATACAGGTTGTAATTTGAAATAAGTGAACAACTATATAATAATAATAACAATAATAATAATATTTATTGATTTTATTGCGCTCAATAAAACAATAAATTACCTTTAACGGTTACACTTTTACCTGTGAGCAAGTTTGCAACATTGATAAAGAAATTTCTGCTGTTGAGAGATTTCTGTTCTTATTCGGAGTTCCTTGAATATGCATTTTTTTAAATTGATTTTGTTGTATCGGTCGTGACAACATCAATTCATAGAATAATGATCTACATGTGATATTGCTATGTATAGTGTACTTTGTCCTTTTTTTTCTTTTTAAGTTTTTTCTATATGACGAGTGTAAAAAATGTAATTTTGGATGCACAAATAATAGTTATTTATTGTGTAAGTGTTTAGACAGCATTTTATTCACGTAAGAATGTTTAAACGCGAAAGCGAAGCTGGAGCGTTTAATTTTCTTAAGTGAATAAAATGCATCTAAAACACGCATGCAATACAACGTTTTATCCACAATCACACTCATTTAGAATCAGAATCGCCAAAATTTCATCTGATGTTGTCAAAAAATGATTTGACATTTCACTCTGACAGCGGCTGTCACCTCAAAAATCATTACAATTAACTAAAAAAACATTGGGAGGTGTTGAATTGTTTCTATTTATTTTCGATTGTTTATCGACTCCATTTTTGTAACATATTTGTAAAAGTGTAAAAGTTGTAAAGGTAAAGTTGGTGAAAAATGGAAGAAAGTGATTATGTTCCCAAGATAATTCTTGAGGAAGTTGAAGAAGCAACTGTCCAATTATTGCCTGCTAAATCCAGGGAACATTACGAAAAAGTATTATCCGAGTTTAATGAATGGAAAGAAAAACGGGGAGTAATAACAATAAATGATGAAGTCTTGCTATCGTATTTCTTAAATTTGAAGAAGAGGTATGCAATTTCATCCATGTGGTCGAAGTATTCGATGCTGAAAGCCGCTATAAAGTCTATAAAACCATAGACATAGGAAAATATAGTAAGCTCATGGCCTATTTGAAGAATCAGTCAAGAGGATACAAGGCGAAGAAATCTGCACTATTGGAAAGAACACACGTCGAAGAGTTTTTGACAAGGGCTTGCGATAAAGAATATTTAATGATCAACGTAATCTCTCTTAACCTTTTGGATATTATATATAATAAACTTTGAAATATATTAGGTTGCACTAATAATGGGGGTGTCTGGTGCCTGTCGATGCTGTGAACTGACTAATTTGAAAATTAGTGCTGTAGAAGATACGGGCGCATGTTAGATTGTTTCGGTACCAGATACAAAGACAGGTCACGAAAATTTACAATTATAGAAGAAGGATTCTCTATCAATACTGTAGAGACGTGTAGAAAATACATGTCTTTACGTCCGAAGAAGTTATCCAATAAGAAATTCTTTTTAAAATACGCTAATCAAAATGTACTTCACAACCTGTTGGAATCTGGCAAATGCAAAAGCTTATAGCGGCCATTGTATGAGGCGCACTTCAACAACTTTACCGGCCAATAAAGGTGCCGACCTTACAATAATTAAACGACATGGTGGGTGGAGGAGTTCTAGCATAGCAGAAACTAATATCGAGGATTCTATATGTAATAAGCTTGATATCGCAAGAAAAATCCAAGGTTCTACTGATACTAGTCGTTCCTTACTAGATGAAACGTCCATTGTTTCTATAGATTTTTCAAAAACTTCGACAGGCACTATGCGTTCTGGAAGCGATGACAATTACAGCTGGTTATTAATGGAAATGAAGTAAAATATGACAAATCAAAGAATGAAATGTCTATTAATATAAATGT